TCCATGTCGCATCCAACCTCACACCGAGAAACCATGCAGCCACTCCTCGTACAGCACCATGAGCAAGCAAGTGAAAGCCACAGCCCTCCAACCGCCACGAGAAGCTTCGCCGGCGTCCATTCACTACTGGTCTTCGCAATACCGTGCACGAGTCACCACCGTTACCCTGCTGCCATGCCGTGAAGAACCAAGTCGTCGCGCCGCGAAGAAAATAGCCGCCGCGCAGTGAGCTACGTCGCGCCGCGAGGAGTAATGGGCTGTAAACAGCTGCCGCGCCGCGCCACAAAGCTTTGACACGCCGTGAAGGAGTCCCTTCCCGCGCTGCGCAGCCTTGTCCCGCCGTGAAGAGGTCCTCCTTCTCACCGCGACAGGCGGCACGTCGAGGCTTCTGCTGTCTTTCTCATTATCCTACCAGGTTTCAAGGCCGCGGCCCGCGAGCTTCTTCTTCACCGCGGCCGCGGCGTTCAATCGGGCCCAAGCTCCCAGAACTTCAGAGCGGAAAAGCCGCAGCCTCCGGATGGGTCGCGGCCACGGGACCGACATTCACCGCGGCCCGTGAGCTCCTCCGCGGCCGCGAAGCGCGCGAGATCAATTTTTAAATTTGCAGAATTTGTGATCGACGAGGGATCATTCTATGCTTAGGTTTTCTATTTTTCTCTCGTTTTTTTACTGCACTCAATTTCCCTTCTCTTTTCATAATTTGGATAATTTCGGACGGAGAACTCGGATTTAGACTCGAATTTGGTCGTAGCCTCGTGGATTAATCTTGTTTATCGTCCTCGACTTTCAATTTCAGTGAATCATAAGACTTTCTATTCCTTTAATTATGAATATGCTTGTCTTGATTTATGAGATTGATTGTGTTGAATCGATTATGAATAGCTAAATTAATATGCTAGGGATTAGGGATTGATGTTTTAATTCATTCGTGATTATCGGGCTTGAGATTGTTCATATTGTACGAGTTGCTCTTTCTCTAGTTTTTTTCGATTATCAGGCTCGAGTTTTGCGAATTGTTGAAGGGTGACACTTCAACGTCTAATTATTTTAATCGAGTTCGTTTAATTCATGCATGATTTTTATAAAATTCTAAATGACTAGTTGATTAATCACCTTCTAGTCTTCTTTAATCGACTTTTTGAACCGAAAAGGGAGGATTCGGTCGAAATAGGCTCGTATGAACTAGGCTTGTTCGTAGCTGTATTGTCTAGGCGTTAATTGAATTGTTAATTTGTTGTTTAAGCTTGTTCTCTTGTTACGAAAAGTTGTTGAGAATGAAAACTTGAACGATAGGTTATTCAAATCACTTAACCGAACAATAACTTGCCCATCAATTGCATTCTCGAGTCAAAACGGATATCTCCGACTCCCTAGCTCGTTAAATCCTATTTGTTCTTCGTCTTTGCTTGCTACTTTTACTGTTTAATTTAATTATTCGCAGTAGTTGATAATTCAAAAAACCAATCCAATTATTTGAATTAGATATGTTTAGGAATTTTATTTCTTTTATTTCTTTTTGTGTTCTTGAATAAATGCGCATTATATTCCGGCTAACCTTCCTCGTGAGACACGACCAGATGTTAAATCTTTCGATTCTACTCCGGAAAATATTTACAACATACTCTGTACCCTTATCAAACCTTAAGTACTTGATCTTCCTACCAGTCTGGTTCTCCACCTCAGCCTTCCATAGCTTGAATTTAGCAAAAACTTCAGATTTATGCTTCATGAAATACACCCAAACTTTGTTTGAAAACTCATCAATAAAGGTCACATAGTACACAGAACCACCCATCGATGTCACTCTAGTAGGACCCCACACATCTGAATGTACATAATCCAGAATTCCTTTTGTCTTCTTCTTCCCATTCTTGAAACTAACTTTTGTCTGCTTTCCAAGAACACTAAACTTGCAGAAATTGAGTTTGCAAGTTTTAACACCATGAAGAAGCCCCCTCTTATGCAGTTCAATCATGCCATGTTCACTAAGATGTCCAAGACGCATGTGCCATAATTTCGTGCTATCTTCACACGACTCCATCGAATGGACTCCACCTACAACTGTACTTCCTAACAGTTTGTAAATGTTCCCCGTAGTGATCCTCCCCTTCATCACAGTCAAGGCACCCTTCACAATCTTAATAGTTTTTCTATCCTCATCAGCCATGGGAATGAAACCATTTCTATGCAAAGTACCCAAAGAAATCAAATTCTTCTTCAACTCAGGGATATGTCTCACATCATATAATGTCCTAACAGTTCCATCATACATCTTGATTTTGACATCCCCAATACCGACAATACCGCAGCATCTATCATCACCAAGAAAAACAGAACCCGAGTTACCTGGTTTATAAGTAACAAACCACTCTCTGTTAGGCGTTATATGATATGAACATCCAGAATCGAGAATCCAAGCATCATCATACTGCGCAGTCGAAATAGATAACATATCTCCATCACTGCAATCAGATTCCTCATTCTGTACCACATTCGTAGACATGGATGACATATCAGCAGTCTGTTTCTTCCACTTTGGGCAATCTCGTTTAAAGTGCCCTTGTTCCTTGCACTTATAACACGTCACAATTTTCCTCCCTTTCGATTTGTCTCGCGACTTGGATCTGAAATTCCAATTTCCTGAATTATCCCGCACCCGTCTTCTTCCACGATCCTGGTTACCCTTCACATATAAGCTGTCACTTTGAGAAGATGACTCTCCAAATTTCTGTTTCCGCTTGTGGTGAGCCAACAACGCTGAAGTAATCTCCTCAGTCTTGGTCGTTTCTTTCCCATATGTAAGGGTAGTCACCATATGTTCGTAAGAAGGAGGTAACGAACACAGTAAGATCATTGCCTTGTCTTTACCTTCAATCTTGACTTTGAGTGAAGCCAAATCCGTGACAACTTGATTGAAGATATTCACATGTTGCCCTAAATTGGTCCCCTCCTGCATCTTCAGCCAGTATAACCTCTACTTCAGATACAGTTTTATTGTTAGGGTTTTCGACATGAACTGCGATTCCAGTTTCTCCTAGATCTCATCCACCGATTTGAGAAGCATAACGTGATACATAACTTCATTTGCAAGGAACAACCGAATCGTCACAGTCGCCCGTTTCTGTAGATCTTGCCAATCATCATCTTCCATCCCCTTAGGATTTTCTGCGCGTAGCCCTTTCTGAATTCCTTCTTGTGCCAATAAATCTTTTACTCTCGTCTGCCATAATCTGAAATTGCCATGACCATCAAATTTTGAGATATCGAATTTTGATCCTCCCTTCATCTCCGTCACCCAATCAACCAGGCTCTCGTACCACTTGATGAGAGAAGATGACAATATAGCATACGAATTAAAAACGAGAAAAGTAAACAGCACAAGATTTACGTGGTTCGGCAATATGCCTACGTCCACGGCAGCTGAGGGATCTTTATTATTCTCAATAGTCTCAGATACATCAATATACCATGTATTCTCAAGGCCCTCGCTCCACTCCGCTTACTTCGCTCGGTTGCTCCGCTTCCCTCGCTACGTTCTCTCTATTACGCTCGCAGGCATCAGCCTGCCTCCTTCCTTTATCAGTATATGAGCCATACCAACAATATATATATATATATATATATATACATGCCGAAGATCATGATATGGTTATTATTATTGTTGTTTACTTTAGTATGGGTTCTCACTGACCATGGTGATTTAGTGCACACACCCCATTGTTATCATTTTCAGATAACAGGGCAGACAGGCAGGCGTGAGCTTAGCTGTGGTGGTTGTGGTCGTTGAATTGGCCCAGTTTGCCATTGTTGTGGGATATTTATATACTTCAGTCTGTATATTTTATTACGCCACGAGTATTTACTTCCGCTTACTTTTCCGTTTTCAGTTTTTGAACTTGCAAGCTAGTATTTCAGAGTATCAGATTTTACCTTGTCCCCTAGTGTGACTTGGGTCCAGTATTGCATGCTTGTTTGATACTCTATTTTCTTTATGTCTAACCTAGTAGTTAGACCCAGTTTAAAGAAAACGAGTTTTCAGTAGAAGTGAGTTTTGTAGTAGCATCCCGAGTTAAGTAAAATGATTTCAAAAAATTATAAGTGTATTCGAAATAATGTTTGTGAAAAATTAACTCTTGTGTAGACATCGATAACAAATAAGGTCATTTACCAAGAGATAATTCAAAAAAACCTTCATAATCGAGTTGCAGTCAGAAAAATTTAAATTTCATGCTTATAGAGCTTCAGTATTTGCCACATAACTCATGCTACAGACCTCCAAATGATATGATTCCAAAATCAACAGATAGCTAAGAAGTATGGCCACAACTTTCATGAAGACATGGATGACAAATAAGGCATTTGATTATAGTTTATTCATCATATAGTCGAAACATGGTTGCTGTCCGAGAACAAAATTATCCATCTTATAGAGCCTCAGAAAAACTGGAATATCTCATGCTACAGACTTGCTTTTGACTTGATTCAAAAACGAAAAGGAAGCTAACATGGCTACATATTTCATGAAGGCTACTTTCATATTTGAGCATGTTAGAATATCGATCGCAGTCCAAACATTTAACATATACATGCTGCCGGGTTTACAGAAAACTGCTTGCACAATTACTTTGTAAAGGGTAAAATACTTTTTCCCATCCGAACTATCGTGGTTTTGGCGCATCACTATATAAACTATTTTTTTTACAAACCACCATATGAACTATATGGGTTTGTCAATGTAATGCCCCGTTTATTTATGGATATTTTTGGGATTATTATTATTATTATTATTATTTTATTATTATTGTTCTCGTTAATTGTCTAATTGCTATAAATTGTCTAATATTAAATAAATATTATTGTGTGTACTATATATATTATTCGGTTAATTTATCGAGCCTCGATTGTCCGTTGAGTATCGAAACTAAGAGAAACCCCCGGCCCAGAGTGTGATCTATTTTCAGCTCGTTTACTAAGATAATTATTATGGTCCATTTGTGCTATTTGGTCTTGGCCCAATACTCCTTTTTTTTTATTATTATTTAAGCCCAGTTCAAATTTATGCTTTAGCCAAACTTGGATGAATTCATTATGGCCCATCTCTTATGGTCCATTCCTTTTCTCGCTAAAACGTGCAAATAGAAAAGAGATTTCTCTGCCGACCGATTCTTCTCCACCCGAAATTCAGGTGCGATTCTCTCGCGCACGTTTATCGCTCACACAGCTCTTATAAACTGAATCGAGGTCCAAAATCTGAAAATCAGTTCATCTCCCTCTCTTTCGCTACCTGCTAGCGTTTCAAAAAAAAAAGAGAGAAGAGAAATAATCTCTCTCTCTCGCCATAATCAATCCCATCGCCGATCATCATCTCTCTCGAAGCCATCACCACCGTTGTGCTCTTCTAGCCCCGACTGCTCCGCCGCGAGCCCTCCGTCGGTGAGAACTCCCGTTGCTGCCTTCGCTGCTGTCCATCACTCCCGACGTGAACCTGCAAAACCGCAGCGCCATCACCGCACCAGCAGGTCCCCGTTCCCGACGACGAGTCCCAGCAACTCCGTCACCATCACTGCTCGTTTCGGCCGTCGTTGTTAGGCTCTGTTCTGCGCAACCATAACCCTTTGCTGTCCTGAGACTCAAGTACCGTCGAGTCCTATCGAGTCCCGTCGGAGTGTCAAACGTAGCCGTTGAGTCCCGTCGTGTTCCGTCGGAGTGTCGACCCAAGCCGATGAGTCCCGATGTATTTTCTTCTCGTTGCTCTCGCTTGTCTCTGCTCGCGTGATCAAACCCTGTCCCGAGTCCCGTTCCAGTCGCAACACCTCCCGACCACGTGCAGCGATTCCGGTGACTTCCCGTTTGCGAGCAGACCTCCAGCAGGAGTTCCGACGAGCCCTCCCTCCATCAACGCCCTGCTGCTCCGACGTGTGCCTCTGCGGCTATTGATCACGACCTTCCCCAACTCGCGATCGTCATCTTCTCCACAAGCAGAAACCAGTTGTGCCGCCATCACGAGAATCAATGGCCACCATCTCCGGCGAGCTTCTTCACTCCGTCGTCCATCGTCGGACCATCAGCGGTTTTTTCCGGTGCCTTCCCAGTCATCGCGAGGTCCCAGCAGGCCGTTTCCGTCGCCAAACAAGCCACCCCTGCGAGCCGTTGTCGTTTATCCCGACGAGCGTGCTCCCAGCCTCCGAACAACCCGTCTCGACTACTGTTTTGTTCGTTGTCGCAAACTAATCACGAGAACGGTACCGAAGCTCGATTACCCTCTCGTTTATATATGTGTGTCGAGCTTTGAAGTTATTTCGCTATTTTTGATTATATATTATGTGTTTATGTTGGGATTTTTATCGATTAATGTGAAATCGTGTGAAGTCCCATCAAATTCGTGTTAGGACTATGGATTTTGGAACCTTATCGAGTCCTTGGCCTCATGGCGAAGTCCTTGGACGAATTGGGTGTGTTTCGGGTCCTATATGATTTTTCGAAACCGAACTAGCTGCTAAATCGTATTTAATTCATGATAAATTGTATACTGGTCCGATTGATGTGAAATATTAACTGTATATGACTTTGGTAGTTATATAGCTCGTGCATAAATTTTAGAATTTTCAGAGGTCTCTAGCTAGTTTTAAAAATTATAGTGATTTCTGGTAAGATTCATGTTAAATTCATAATACATTGTGTAGTGCTCCAAAATTCATGAAATTTTAAGATCTAGTTGCTGTATAAATTTTTAGAATTTATAGATTGATATTAATAGGGTAAATAATTTGTTTACGGTTTTTGCTGAATAGTGTTTTAATTATGATAAATTGGTCAATGGCTGGAAAATTCTGATTTTTGGCTGAGATGCTTATTTTATGCGTACTTGCCTGTTGTAAAAATATTGGAATTTTCGGAGTTGGAATTAGTTCGGTTTTAATTAAAATTTGATAAACGGCTGAATCTTTTATGAATTTTCGTAATTTGTGTATTTTATGTTAATTATTGAAATTTTTATATGTTGGTCCTTAATTGCTGAACTTGCTCTAGTAAAAATATCATGTGCTAATTCGTTCGTTAGATCGGACTTTGAATTTTATGCTCGTTTTTGCTGATACCGTATTTGAATTTTATAAAATCATGTATTTTGAATTTGAGGCTGAAACTTGGTGGTTTTTCTAAGTAATGGGAGGTGTATTTTTTATTTTGGCTTAAAATTTCAGAGTCAAACTCATAAGGCAACTAGATCAACTTAGTTTTGTGTTTTGGCTAATAAATTAGAAATATGATTTTTGGAGTTAAAAGCTATAATTGGCTAGCTTTTCGTTTCTTGTTGTTTGACTTAGTCATCGTTAGTTTGACTTATGTGAACTTCCATGTATGTTTTGGTTGAGTGTAGTGTCAAGTCTAAGTGTTCCAATATCCACAGGACTTCACGAACAACTTAGTCGAATCAAATTCGACTAAGTATGATTTGTGTTTTCCATTTAAGTCAAGATAAACGTTGATTGTAGGATCTTGACTTAATTTCGGTGATTGAGGAGTCAAGCCTCAACCTACGTCTTTTCTATTCGTACTGTTATCAATCTAGAATCCAGGTGGGTTTTAATCTAAATTTGTTATGCCGTATGTGTTTACTATAATGTTGACTTGGTATGATTTTAGTATGTATGTAAACCATGTAGCCTATCAGCGTGAGCCGATTCAACCGTCGGTACGGTTGTCCCCGTCGATGTAATACGGTTACCTTGCGAGGTAAGTCTCCGTAAGACCTAATGAAAGGCCGTTTCTTGTTGTATGGCA